CATGTTGGACCAGCTGCGGAAGAGGTGCATCGGGATGACGGGGTACCGCGCGTACTTCCACTCGTTGACCGCGAAGATGCCAATCGTGACGATGCCAAACACGATCAGACAGATTACAGTAGGCGAGCTCCACGGGTACTGAACGCCGCCGAACTCGAGTCCGAACAGGAACATGAGCGTGCCGCCGATGATGGTCAGCGTGCCGACCCAGTCGATCGCCTTCAGGCCCTGCGCGACGGGCGTCCGCGGGTTGTGCAGCTTGAGGACGAAGAAGAGCACGATGAAGCCGATGCCCGAGATGGGCAGGTTGACGTAGAAGCACCACCGCCAGGTGGCCTTGCTCGTGAAGACGCCGCCGAGGACGGGGCCGATGGCGCTCGAGACGGCCCAGACCATGCCCATGACGCCGAAATAGACGCCGCGCTGGCGCATCGAAAAGAGGTCGCTTACGCAGATGTTGACGAGGACGATGATGCCGCCGCCGCCTATGCCCTGGATCGCGCGGGCGCCGATGAGCATGCTGTGTCATGTTAGCAACATCTATACGCCATCTTCCAGTCTGAAGCTCTCAGAGACTTACCCCATGCTCGTGGACAACCCACAAATCAACGACCCAACCCAAAACACACCAACGGCGCACAGCAGAATGGGCTTCCGGCCCCAGATATCAGAAATCTTGCCCCACGTCGGCACGAAAGCCGCATTGCTGAGAAGGTACGCCGAGCCGATCCAGATGTATCCGATATTGCTATTAAACTCCTCCGCAATGGTCGGCACGGCGGTCGTGATAATCGTAACGTCCAGCGCCGCCAGGAACAGCGCCGCGCAGAGCGAGAGCACGATGAGCGTTGTCTCGAGCTTCGTGCGGCCGGCCTCGGGCGTGTCTTCGGCGCCGGCCGCCGCTGCCGTGGCTTGTGTTTCGGGCGCGGCCTCTTTGGTGTCGCTGGGGCCCGTCACATGGCCTGTTGTCGCTGTTGCGGCAGTGGCGTCGTGGGAGAGTTCTTGTTCTTCCGCCTTGATGTTCGTCGCGTCGGCGTTGCTGCGGATGGTTACCGAGTCGCTGCTGGTGGTCGTGGGCGATCCATCTTCGGTTTGGGAGCCGGCGGCGCGCTCAATGTCGCCGACCTTTTCGTCGTCGTGGACTTCGTGGAAGTCTTTTGCTGTCATCTGTGCTTTGCTGTGCTGGACGATGGCCTTGGCGGTATAGTAATGTCGTGTGAAGATTGTGTGCTTGTCTCAAGAGCTCAGTCTGTTTTCGGGATGCTGAGCGAGAGACTGATGATTCATAGGAGGAAGTGGTGAGTTTAAAGGTAGCTAGCTGAGTTGGACCTTTCAACGTGAGAATTGAAATGAGATCACCAGCTTCGCGCAAAGAGAGAGAGACACGGTGAGGCGATGAGAGATACAACGTGCTGAGACTGGGTATTGCTCAGTGAGTGACAATCTTCAGCTTCAACTAGTGAGAAGAAACCCGTAGCAGCAGTCACTCCGTCATGGTTGTCAAGAGGAAGAGTCAAAAGTCACCGAAACGAAACGAAAGAAAAGTGACGAGCCAAAGGCGCAACAAATTTCCATTACGAATCCAAAGTCGATGACAAGCACCTCCACATGCGCTCCAACCTGTACCATCCCCTGGTCCCATGGCGAGGGAAAAGTGGACGTAAAGGGACTGGTGTCGAAGCAGCTAAGAGCAGGGGGCGTGAGATCTAAAGCATCCAAGACTGGGGTAAGTGAAAATCGTGTGTAATAGTGTACCCTACCTACTAAGGTAGTATGGGGGTGGAAAGACGCGAGAGCGACGAGAGCCGAGAGACAGAAATGTCGACTGTTGCCGCGTTGCCGAATCGGCAAAAAGTTGATTGACTCAATGACTAGGTGCACTTAAGCATGGATACGGATGGGTAGAGAACTCTTGCTGGGGCTAATGCGACATCGGATTTAACCAGCACAAGCTCGGCGCGAGAGCCGGTGAGAGTGTTTAGTTCACACTTCATGTCTAGTACTTTTTATCCGAAGTCTCTATCCGTATAGACTCATAAGGTCTTCTCGGAGCACTTCGTCCTGCCGATTGGTTTATGTTAATGTTGAGTCCCCAAACGAGTTGGTGTTCTTATTATCCACCACCCAAAGCTGAAGCCGAACTACCTGACTAGGAAGCTAAAGACTGCTAAGCTGCTCATTGAATCCATCTACATTATTGACTTATCCCACCTGGACCGTGCCGTCATCCGTGAGACTGCTAGATGATGGCTTGGTAATCAGCCTTCAACTTCAACATTAACTCATATGTTACCGTATTACAGTTGCCATCCTTGATACATCTGCAACAGCGACAATTACGATCCTGCGACCCTGCGACTTGGACGCCGAGATCGCAGACAGTAACACCTTTGCAACGGGAATGAGGGACTGAGCCAGAAATTTGAACAGGTGCCAGGGTCCTCCCTTGCCCCCACCTCGGCTGTTCCCCCCGCGATGGAAGGCTTATCCTTGGTTGTCGGAATGCTTGTCATCATCACTGGGTGTCTGCGATCGGGGGTTCACATTTGTGTGTAGTGGTCTTGTCTATTGGCTGCTTCTCTAATTGATACCAAGTTAGACTGTAACACATTTCTCTCATGGCAATATAGTGGTATGTTTGTAAGGTTGACTATGTATATTGTAAAAGAATCATACTAGAATATCTACCCGCCAAGCTACGAAACAGTTACCAAGTTTCTGCTGCGGCACAGCCCGTCTTCTCGGAGCAATTAGATAGAGCATCAATCCCAGCCACCGATGCTTGGTATACTCAAGCTACTAAAGCAGAATACATTTTCGAATGCATCACCGATAGATGTTATACAAAGTACTACTTCAACCAGTAAGGGTGATAGAAACATGAGTGACTGACAGACCTCGGAGTGGAGTTCCAAGCCTCCCTTGAATAGCTCACTCTCATCTCAAGTGGGAACTCACTCAAAAAAGCTTCACCACTCACAAACCACCAACCTAATTTCAGCCTCAACCACCAACCACCAAACTCACAAACAATGCTTCTTTCAACGTCGTGATCACATACCCCTACCATCCACCTCCCTCTCCAGCATCTCACACTCATGAGGCTCTTCTTCCGCCCAACCCAAATCTCAGCCTCATTGAGCCTAACAAAACACCCCTTCAATAATCTCTCCTCATTTAGACTCATCACCACAATGTCCTCCTCCCAAGCACAATCATCACGGACTTACACCGACGCAATCAACCTCCTAAACACCCTCATCCCAAACCTCAAAGTCCACGCCCTCTTCAACAAACCAAAAGATGCCGCTCCCACCACCGCAGCACCAGCAACACCAACAACAGACCCAAACCTCCTCGCCATCCCCGAAATGCGCGCCTGGCTCCTCCGCGCAAACCTCACACCCGAACGCCTCGCCTCCCTCTCCTTCATCCACATAGCAGGCACAAAAGGAAAAGGCTCCGTGACAGCCCTCACGACCTCGGCCCTCCTCAACCACTCATCCTCATCCTCCTCGCCCCCTTCCACGTCACACACAGGCCCCATAGGAACCTACACCTCCCCCCACCTCCTCACCCCCCGCGAACGCATCGCAATCTCAAACACCCCCATCTCCCAAACCCTCTTCGCAACATCCTTCTTCGAACTCTGGGACACCCTCTCCTCCTGCACCTCCCCCTCCGCACCCGGCGGCAGCGCCAGCAGCACCGGGCCCGACCTCGGCATCGAACCGGGCTCCAAACCCTTCTACTTCCGCTTCCTCACCCTCCTCGCCCTGCACGTCTTCCTCAAACTCCGCGTCCGCACCGTGGTGTTGGAATGCGGCATCGGCGGCGAGTACGACGCCACGAACGCCATACCCGCCGAGGCGGTGACGACTTCGGTCATCACGCAGCTGGGCATCGATCATGTTGCGATGTTAGGGTCGACTGCCTCGCAGATCGCGTGGCATAAAGCGGGTGTGATGAAACCCGGCGTCGCGACCTTCACGCGCAGGTTATCCGATGAGGCACACCCGGGCGTGATGACCACCCTCCGCTCCCGCGCGCGCGAAGTAGGCGCGGAGCTAATCGAGGTCGACGACGAGGATGTCATTGCGTGGCGCGGTGTCAAGGATGCAAAGTTACCAGGCGGGGACTTTCAAAAGAGGAACCAGGCTCTCGCTGCGCTGGCTGCGAGGCGGCATATCCAGGTCCTTCAAGCCCGAGAAGCGGGGTCAAGCACGGTAGGAAAGGCAAATCTTTCGCTGGCGGATGTCCCTGAAGTCATCATCGCCGGTCTCCGCGAGGCGACGCTCCGCGGCCGGCACGAAGTTCTCAGACAGGGTAGTGTGTCGTGGTACCTCGACGGCGCGCACAACGCGGATAGTCTGGCCGAAGTAGCGCGCTGGATATCACCCATCGTCACCGCCACAACCTCCTCAGACACCACTCACGACGACGGAGAAAGTTTCGTCCTCGTCTTCAACCAGCAAGAGCGCGACGCCTCCGCCCTCCTGACAGAGTTCCTCCGCCAGATGAAGACCCTGGGTGTCGACCTCGAGACGCGGCTGGCCGCGGCCGTCTTCACGAGGAACGACAAGGCTAACGTCGCCGGCGAGGGCGGGGAGGTGGATCTCAGTGTTCAGCAGGCGTGTGCTGCGGCGTTTAGGGAACTGTATCCTGCTACAAAGGTCGTGGTGTGCAGGGACCTGACGGAGATGAAGAGCGCCGTCGATGGCGTCGCGGAGCCATCGTCGGGGACAAACGTGCTGGTTACGGGGAGCATGTATCTCGTTGGAAACGTCATCGGCTTCTTGGAGCCGGAAAATCTATTGTAATCCGCCCAGAATAGAAGACTAAAGAATATAGAACATATAAATCTAGAGTTGAATCCGTGAGGACATGTCTGTTCGTGCCCCTATGTAAAGCCGTTGTTAAACCCCATTGTATCCCATGAGACCCCAACCTCTTGGAGTCAAACGCAAGAGCAATATGAATACTCCACACCCTGGAAACATCTACAAAGCATCCGCGCCCTCCAGTATCCCCAGCGCGCCACCAACAAGATGCAGACTGCCCGTGACAAGAGCCTGTACACTCTCGCCCTCCGGCAGGCCCTCGCCGACGCTCCGGACGTGGTTCAAGGCCTCTTCGATAGTCGGTATCACGCGCACGTCGGCGTGGGGATCCAGCTTGGACCAGCGCTCCGCGAACTGCCTCTGCACCGTCATGGCCTCGATGGCTTTGGCGTCGTACTGGTGGTTGACGAAGTCTGATCATCGTCAAGTCAGCATCTTCTTCTCTCATCCAAACATCCCGACCATCCCAAAGACATTTGAGAAGAAAAAGGGGGCTCACCTCGCTTATACCCAGTCTGGGCATACGTAACGTTCGTACAAAACACCACGCTCTCAAACGCCCTCCCATCCACCCTCTTGATAGCCTCGTACATGCCATCCAAAAAGTCAATCGCCTCCGTCCGGCCCTGCTGATTAAACACCAACGCCCTCGGCCCCTTCTTCCCCCTGCTCGCACTCTCGTCCACATACCACCGCGCCGCCATCCTCAGACTATCCGTCGTATGCGCCCCGTCAACGTACCACGCAACAGCGCCCTCCTCCTTCACCTCACACCGCCCCCTCCAAACAACCCCCTCCAATCCCTCCACAAACGGCGCCGACAACATCTCCGGGTCCCTCCTGAACTCTGGATCGACCCTCTCCAGCGCAGTCTCCGCAAGCCGCACCGCCAAACTCGCATTCCTCTTCTGGAAAACCGCATCAGGACGGATCTTGACGCCCTCAAGCCGCGGATCAACACCAACAACCTCCATCTCGACCCCCTTCTCCCTCGCCCGCTCCTCCAACACCCCCGCCGCCCCAGCAACCTGCTCAACAGTAAACCCCTTACTCCCAGCCTTCATAATCCCGCCCTTATGCCACGCAATCTTCTCCACCGTATCCCCCAGCGCAAAAACGTGATCGATCCCCAACGTCGTAATCCCCGTCGCGACAGGCCGTCCCACAAGATTCGTAGCATCATACTCCCCTCCGATCCCCGTCTCCAAAATAGCAACATCGCACCCCTCGCTCAGGAAAGCATGGAAACTAACCAGCGTCAGATACCGCGAATATATCGGCCTCGTCCCCACCGCAACAACCTCTTCTAGCACCTCATTCTCCTCCCCCAACCGATCCCACACCTCGAAGAAATACCGCGCAAACAGCGCCTCAGATATCGGCACGCCGTTGATCCGTATCCGCTCCCTAACCGCAATCAAATGCGGCGAGATCAACAACCCGACCTTGCGCGGTATCGACCTCGGCGAAGCGGCGCGGTGCCGCGCGAGGATGGAGTCGGTGAAGGCGCAGGTGCTTCCTTTCCCCTTTGTCCCCGCGACGTGGATCACGTTGAGGCTGTCGAGGTCGGAGACGGAGTAGCCCACGCGCGCGAGGTACGCTCGCATTTCGGCGACGGAGGCTTCGTCGGGGCGGATGCCCGCCTTGCGGCGGGCTTCGATTACCGCGAAGGGGGTTTGGAGGGTGTTGAGCGCGTCGACGGCGTCCTGGGGTTAGACTGAGTTAGTAAAGCTTGGTTCTGCAGTGTGCTTTTGTCCTCTCCTCTCCTCGTCTTGCGGTCCTCCATTGCGTGGCTCTGTGAAGTCAAGCTTGAAGCGGCAAAGATGTCGCGATCTCCGACCTCGGAGACAACACTCTGAAGCTTCGCAGCGGGATGAGGATATCTTGGGGGAAGACTTACATTGTACGTCCTCCCGGCGGTAGCCATCGTTCGTCGTCCCAAGAATGTGGAAAGTAGGAAACTTCTGCTGCTGGCGCTGCGCGTGAGGCGTATTACGTGGCGGGATGCATGATGCATCAAGGACGTTGGGAATGCTCCCTCTCTTTTTTGGGGGGAGGTCCTTTACAGCGGGGCTTGAGATGGAGGGGTTACCAGAGCTCTCCCTTGAACTCTGGTTAAGGTACTTTGGAAAGGTAGAATTTCGGGGTGCGGTAAGCTGCTGCGTCTGCTACCGGGTTTCGGTGGGGGGTTCATTCTGATTATATGCGGCTTCCACTAGGGGTGGGCGCTTCGGGACTCGAGCCGGGAGAGCGTGGTCCGGGGCCCTGCGCTCGGCGCTCGTCCCGTTTCCTGAAAAGTCTGCGCCTAACAAGGTGGTCCGGACGGCTCTCGTGCTGTAGCATACAGAGGTAGGACGGACATCACAAGGAGAAAGACTTGATAAAATACACCGCCTTCATTCAAGTCTATGGGCTATGTCTTACACAGACCAGAGGTCTAGGCTATCTTGCTCACTCTCACTCTTCTAAATAGTCTCCCCGTGGGAGCCCGCCGTCATACTAGAACAAAAGAAAAAGAATATTTCCCGTCCATTATTCTACCTTGAGACTCTGCAGGCGCGCTTCTGTCGCAATGACCTAGAATTAAACACATTAGTTATCGAACATTCCCCACATGCATTTCACGAGGGTATACTCACATCAAGAGCCTGCTGGACCTCAAGAACCTTCCTCACCTCACCGAGCCAGTCTCTGCTCAGCGTCTTCGCCCAGCCCTGCAGACCGTTCATCTCACGGGCCGCAGCATCCAGGTTACCCTCCTCCAACAGCGTCTGCGTGCGGGTGAGGATGCTCTCAACGTCATCGCCGCCGACCAGGCCCTGCTTCTTGAACATGACCTTGCTGAGGAGGTAGCTCGACGCGTGGCTGGCGACGCCGGCCTCCTCGGGCAGGAGGGACGCCTTGCGCACCTCGTTGGCGACTATCCTGAAGCGGTCGATAAGCTGTGCCGCGTTGGAGAGTCCGCGCTGGTAGGCCGACGGGTTGATCGAGGCAATGGCCGCGTTGACGACAGGGTCTTCGGCCGCAATCTCCTTGAGCGCAACGAGTTCGCGCGTAAACGGCTTGGGCGTCGTCGCGTTCTCCAGGCTGGCGCGGACGGCGTCCACAGCGACGTGGAGCTGCTGAGTGCGCAGGTTGGTGTCGACAACCTCGTTCCAGCCCGTCGTCAGCTTCTCGAGGTCCTGGACAGCCGCCGACAGGTTGTTGAGCTTGCCGAGGCGGCCCTCGCGCTCGGCCTCGACGTGGCCCTGTACCTCGGCGACGAACTCCTTCTTCAGGGCGAGCGCCTGCTCCAGAAGCTGGTTGTTAAGACGCTCCTCGTTAAGCTGCTTCTCGCGCTCCAGTAGAAGCTTGACGCGCTCGTTGTAGGCATCCTTGACCTTCTTCATCTCGTCCTCGAAATCCTTTCTCCACTGGGTCTCCTGGGCGACCATGGCGGACTCGACGCGGGCAATCAGGTCGTTGGCGGCCTTGTCAAAGTCGGCGACCTTTGCCTCAACCTCGGAAGCAGCCTTCTCCTCGACCGAAGACTTGATGGCCTTGATCTTGCCTCCGACCTTGCTCAACTCGCTCTTGGCCTTGGCAATGGTCGGAGAGTAGCGGCCGTGGGCCTTGTCAGCGTTGATAACGGTGATGATGTCGTTGAGCATGCGAACGAGGTCCTGGACGACGGGCTCGGTGGCATCCTCAATCTTCAGCGCGTCGATCGGGGCAATGGGAGGGAATCGCGAAGGCTCGTTGACCTCGGGGGCCTTGAATCCGTTCGAGTCCTCCTTGGGCGCAGGAGTAGCAGCAGGCTTGGTCTCCTTGGCGGGCTCAGGCGCGGCCTTGGGAGCCTCCGGCGCAGGCTTGGGCTTCTCGGCCGGCTTGCTCACCTCCTCCTTGACAGCGACGACCTTGGCAGCAGCCTTGTCAACAGCGCTCGACTGACGACCAGCGGGCTCGCCGTTATCGGCTACTCTCCATGACGCGCCGCTCTGGGCGGGAATCTTGACCTGGCTTCCGGTATCTCTTCCCTTGATCTTGTTTGAGAGGTTGGGGAATCGCTTGCGGAAGTCTGCTTCCTCAAAGTAGAGAACGGCCTGCTCGCCAAAGGGAATATATTCGGTGAAGAAGTCGTGGAAGTTATCGTTGACGCGCGAGTACCAGACACCGCCTCCGAAGCCGACGGCGCCGAGGATGGCGAGGGTCAAGACGAGGTTTCTCAATCGGCGGAAGAAACCCTTCTTCTTGGGCGCGGCAGCGGCGGGCGACTCGGGCGGAGGAGGAGCAGCGGCAGCGGCAGCGGCAGCCTCGAGGTTGGGAACGACGACCGCGGGATCGGGAGTCGGGGGCGTAAGAGGAACCTCTTGCTTGGGGATGGTCGGCTCGACGGCGGAAATCTCGGGGACGGCGCTCTTCTCTGAGGTGATGGTCTCTGATGCCGGCAGGACGGCGGGTTTGGAAGGGTCGACAGCGGGCTTCTTGTCGTCTGCGAAATGCCTCCTCTGGCGGGCGGCAGCGGCCTGCCATTGGCGGCCAACGACGGCCACCGCAGGCCTGTGGCCGAGCACCCTCACGGATCGAATCGACGTTCGCAACATGAGGGGATGCAATGGGCCGACAGGGCGTAATTGGGGGTGAATGATGTCGAGGGGGAGTTGCAGTGGGAGGTGTTCCGTACCTTTTGGTGACGGGAATCCAGGCACAAAAAAGCTCAGGGAAAAGTTCGGCTAAAACTGGGTGAGCTTCCAGCCGCGCCGTGCTGGTCCGCTGCGAGCGCCGAGCGGCAGGAACCGGGATCTCAGCCAGGACCACCTGCCTGCCTATACCTTACTTGTACCTTACTACGTAGAGTACCTCAGAAAGAGCTCACGTCACCTGTCAATTATTGACACGCGGCTTTCACCCTCTCCCGTCTTCATCAAATTGATAAATTGATATACATCATGTTTTAACGGGAATGATACAGCTTTCTGCTCTGCGTGAATTTTCTCTCAAAAGTCTCGATAACCTGGCGAATTATTGGGGGAAGAAAAAACATAATGCCTAAGCGAAACTACGTCACCAAGCTTCCCTTCCTTGATGGCAGCATGTGGAAATCTTCATCGGCATCCACGAGCTGTGTGTATATACGTCAATGGGACCATATCCAGTGCATCACCAAGCCCAGGAATGAAACGATAAGAAATTGTATACGGCCCCATCCTTGAGAAACAGTTGCCTCTATCGCATACTGTACATCAGAAAAATGCTGCAGGATGCTTCCCCCAGTAAAGTGAATCCGTTCCCGTACACCGTCTTATCCCAGGACTGTCCCTACACCCGAGTTGCCGCAACCGAATGACCAGCTCAATGAAGACTCGAAATGTAAAATCACACACACGCGCAACTCTCTCCCCTTCTCTCCTTGACTCTCCCTCTTCTCTCCTTCTCTCAAAAAAAACGTACTGTTGATATTAAAAAGCTGGGTCTAGCATACCCATTCTTTGGTGTAGGGGTTTGCGACAACGCTCTTCTTCAGCCCAAACCCATTCAGCCCAAACGCCGTCGTGTACGTGCTTGTATTGGTGCGGTGCCTGAACTGATGGGTGCCCTCGCGCAGTCTGCCAAGGGGAGCCTGTCTCGCCTCGGACGTGATGCCAATCTTTCGCCGTATTCCTTGGGCTCTTTCGATATGTGATGATTGATGATGTTGGAATGTGAGTCTCTTCTCACTTAGCAGCTGCAAGGCCCGCTGACATTGCTGCCAGGAGTCTCGGGTTGAAGGCTAACGCCCTGTCGCTGGCCTGGCCGAGCGTGCCTAGGGCCGGCCTGGTCAAGCGGCAGCTTCTTGGCGATAGCAGTGAAGAGGTCCTTGACGTTCTCGGCCGTCTTGGCCGATGTCTCGAAGAAGAGGAGTCCGGCCTCGCGCGCATACGCCTCGGCGTCGGCCGTGGACACCGCTCTCTTATCGGGCTGCTCGGTGACCAAATCCAGCTTGTTGCCGGCGAGGGCGATGATGATGTTTTCGTTGGCTTGTCTCTGCAATTCCTTGACCCACGCCTTTGCCTTATCCAGGGATGCCTTGCTGCTGTTAGCATTCTTGTGAAGGATGCCATAGGTTATCATTCAACCTACAGATTGGGTAATGTCGTAAACTACCACAGCGCAGTTTGCGTTGCGGTAGTACATGGGTGCAAGGGACTTGTACCGCTCCTGTCCGGCCGTATCCCAAATCTCAAACTTGACTGTGGTGTTTTCGTCGAGGGAAATGGTCTGGGTCAGGAAGGCGGCGCCGATGGTCGATTCGCGGTAGGAGTCGAACTGGTCCTGTAGTGGCACAAGGTTAATGACCTGGTGTGATGATGAAGCCGGACAAGTTGTGCATCGGGGACTTACCTTGACGAAACGCAACACGATGGAGCTCTGGACAACGGGTTAGCACCAACGGATGGAATTTCCACGACGATCCGGACAATGAGATACCTTTCCAACAGCGGATTCGCCTGTGTATCATCGAAACCGTTAGCTATTGTTATGATAGACTACTCGGGCGGCAAGGAAGAACACCTACCTAGCAAGACGAGCTTGAACTGCGCAAAGCGCGTGTTCATTCCGCGCGCACCAGGAGCACCGGGGCCTCGGGCAGCCATTTTTGCGTAATGTGAAGAAGAGGTTTTTGGGAAGAAGCGGGCGATGGCAGGAAAGTCGGCGTTTGATGAGCCTAACACACGGAGCGAGAGGCTGTTCTAGAATGACGGTTGTATCGAATGTCGCCGGACGGACTCGTTCGCTGGCGTTCGGAAAGGATGGTGCAAGTCGTAATGGAGGAAATGAGGGCGATGTGACGTTGATCGAGATAGGGATCGAGGGTCGCGACAGCAGCCGTCGTGGATCAAAAGATTCGTGGTTGCGCGGCGGGAGGGGCGAGAGTGCGAGTACTGCGTAAAGGTCGGTGGTGGTGGAATGTAAGGTGGGAAGCAGCGGGATGGGAGTTGATGGTAAATCGGGGCCTGGAATAATGTGACTGCCTTGGGGTCAACCGTTCTTGGGGGTCTCGGGGGGGCGTGTCGGTGCTGTTGGGTGGTGTGTATGTGTGGGTGATCACTGATGCCCATTCACTGTCTGGTACTTCCGTACTCTATTGCGGACTGCGTAAGGCAAGGTACTGCGTACGTGGTTGAGAGTGTCCTAGCGCCCGACTAATAAGGTACCTTACCACAGTACCTTACCTACCTAAGGACCAAGCTGTCTACAAGTCTGTAGGTACTCTGCAGTGGAGCGTTGAGATGATACTCACCAGTCGCCGGGCTGTCAGGTGCAGATGGACGGACGGACGGGGGACACCTACGACCCCGATGACTTCTGACCAGGTGCCAGACCCGCCAGGAGCCCGACTAAGGTGACCTCCAGCTCGATAGTTAGGCAAAGTGGTCTGCGTTGATTGGCCGACGGGAGGATTTTGCCGTGTTATGTAATCTTCGAGTCTCTCCCGGCCTGCTGGGCAGTGGCAGTCTGCCGCCGCCAGAGGTCGGGTGCATCATCAGGGGTACGTACTGCTTTAGTCATGAATCAGCCACGGCACCATCATCACAGCATCACAGGACTGGCAGCACCTCAGCCTCAGGACTGCTCTTGATCCCAGGCTTACCTAAGGTGATGGCTCTACGGAGTACTGCGTATGTAATCTTCAGATCTAAACAGCTGCCCAGCTCCCTCATTGGATCATAGCTCCTAAACATGGCCTGTGCTTCTAGTTGTTCGGTCCCTCTTTCACAAGCCGGACATTCAGATTCCCAGAGTTCCAGTGCGTCTTCAGCCCCTTGCACAGCAGTACCGAAGCTCTAAGCAGGCTGTTCTACCTCAGTTGAGGTACCTTAACTCTACCTAAGGTCGTTTCCTACAAGTTTCTAAAAAGGTACCTCGTCAAAGTACCTTTACCTTGTGTGGAGACGCTCCCCTTGCCCCCCATTCCACCCAGGCTGTGCTTGCGACTGCAGAGTGACGACAGCCATTTTTATTGGGGTTCACAATTCAGTGCAGCCAACCAAAGCCTCAAGCTGTCCTCAAGGCTCTGGGTACTGAATGCTCGACGCTTGAACTTGCGACCGTCAGCTCCAACTTCAACAACCTCCCAGTTGGACGACAATAAGGGCTTCAAGGCATCCCCCCTCCCTTCGACCTCCCCTCATTCATTCGCTTCTTTTCTGCTTTGCCTAGCCTTGCATTGCCTTGTCCGTCTAGCTCTTCCTTCTCTTCGCTACTCACTACCCTTTCATCATCCCGTTGCCGCCCGTCGCCATGGCACCCACCTTTCCCTATCGCGACATCAATGTCAAGGTCGCTCCCGACTCTTACGTCTTCACTTCTCCCTCCTCGCCTGATGCTCCTGCCCTGGTCATTGACAGACCGACCGGAGACCTTCGCCTTGGAGATGCAGGCCTGGGCAAGAGAGTATCCCGGCAATCAAGCATCGCCGGAATTCTGGGCATAGTCCAACTCAGACTTGGTAGGATCCCATACTGTCGCCAGCAACGCCGTCAACCCCTCTTGGCCTGCAATACAACACAATTCGCTGACTCCCATTCTCTCTTCAGACAAGTATGTCATCATAATCAACAAGGCCCAGCCTGTCGGCCGCCTCAAGGGCCACATGGTCTACAAAGTTATCAGCACCGAGATCCTTCCCATGCGCGAGCGCCAGATCCGAGACCCCGACGAAGATACCTTTATTGGTCTGCTCGAGACCTTCATGAAGAACGGCCCCATGTACTTCTCCTACTCTCTCGACCTCACAAACTCCTTCCAGCGCCAGGCCTCCGCCGACGCCTCTCTCCCGCTCTGGCAGCGCACAGACGACCGCTTCTTCTTCAACCGCTTCATCCAGTCAGACCTGATCGACTTCCGAACGAGGGGCGCCAGAGGTCATGTTGGTCCCCAGCCCGGCGTCGACCCCTTCATCCTCCCCGTCATCTTTGGCATGCTCGAGATCCGCCCCACCACCTTCAAGGGAACCCCCGTCACCGTCACCCTCATCTCTCGTAGATCTAGACACCGCGGCGGCACCAGATATTTCACTCGAGGCGTTGACGACGAGGGCCACGCTGCCAACTACAACGAGACGGAGCAGATCACCATCTTCAATGACTCAGGCAGTGGTATGGGCGGCTTTGCCGGCAGCAGCGATATGCAGAGCGGCAAGTACGGCGCCGACGGGAAGGAGACCCAAATCATGTCCTACGTCCAGACTCGCGGCAGTGTGCCCACCTACTGGGCCGAGATCAACAGCCTCCGCTACGTTCCCAAGCTTCAGGTTCGCGGCATCGATAGCGCTCTGCCGGCGGCCAAGGCGCATTTCGAGGAACAGATCCGTCTCTACGGCGACAACTACCTCATCAACCTCGTGAACCAAAAGGGTCGCGAGCAGCGCGTCAAGAGCTCATACGAGCAAATGGTTGAGAAGCTCGTATCGTCGCCAAAAGAGCGGACCGAGGGCGACCGTATCACGGACGAAAAGTTCACCACAATCCAGCCCGAGAAGCGCGCCGTCGAGTTCGACCGCCTGCACTACATCTACTTTGACTACCACCACGAGACCAAGGGCATGAAGATGCACCGCGCA